AAAACTGCTATGGACATTTGTGGAAGACCTACATGGTCCCTACTGAAACTGAAATGAAGCTGAAGGCAACCCAGGAAAGAAAATCCTCCTCAAATCAAACAGATCTCTCAGTGATGACCCTGATCACAGCATCTTGAGAGAGAATGAACTCCTTGGATGGAAAATCACACCTCCTTCTGTGCCTGCTGTATCTGAAGCATCTATGTGTTCCTGACATAAAACTTGAAGTTCTTGAAACACTGAAATCATAGACAGATTTCTTAGTTTTTCATTGCTGGTTTTAAGGAGCACATAAATTTCATCCACTATGAAAAGTATGGGAAGTATCTTCCCAAAATAATTAAAAGCTTTATACCACAGCAATATATGCACAACCATGTTATAGTAGCACAATATGTAATAGGTAAACTTGGAAACAAGATGGGCAAATTCCCATCAATGGATGAATAAACAAGATGTGGTGGTTTTTTATACAATGAAGAACTTACTGCTCAGACTAAAAAAAAGATAACCTAGGGCCGGGGATTTAGCTCAGTGGTTCAGGCGGCTGCCTTGCAAGCACAAGGTCCCAAGTTCGATCCCCAATACCAATAACAACAACAAGAGAAAGATAACCTTTCTAGGTAAACAGCTGCACCTTGAGACTATAAGCTTCATCAATCAGACACATGTTTGAATATTGCATTGTTTCTCTGGTGTGAGAAACCAAAAGGGTAAATAAGGTCCAAAATGTGTAATAGCTATTGGAATATAGGAAGGAAATGTTTAAATGGGAAGGGGAAAGAGGGAGGTGGGAGGGGGAAACAACAAGATAAAATAGAATGGAAAAAATGGAAACAAAGCTTTTATAAATACAAAGAAAAAGAAGAGTTGAAGGGAGGGACGGGAATGGGACAAACACAAATGGAGATATATCTCATACAGGTCACTCAACTGAAAAGATTATGGGAAAATTAGTACTCTGATGAATTAGTATTGGAAATTTAAAGTGCCATACTCCTTTGCTGTGGAAGTTTTCCAAAACATCTACCTTTTCGTGGGCCAGAAGGACTGCTTTGTGTCTTGCTGTATCCAAGTAGCAACAGGAAAAGAACCTAGGTAGGGGATCCCTGAAAACAGACCATGAATCTTGCACCAGAGTCTGCAGTACCATGGGTACCACCTGTACCACATTTACCAGTTGTATCATATGTAGACACTAGGGGGGTGCTCCAGCACCATGACTCTGTATAGCACCAAAGAGGCTGCAGAAGGGAGGGCTGAGTAGAAACCCCCAAACTCAGGAGATAAGGGGAACTCACTACTGGGATGCAAGTTTGTTAACCATATGAAAATCGATCACCACATAACAAGATAAAGAACAGAAACCACGTGATCACCTTGATCCATACAGAAAAACATTTTAATAAAACCAAACACCCAGTTCTAATTTTTTAAAAAATCAATAAATTGAGGACATGGAAAATGGCAGAAAATGTTATATAACAGAAAACGGTATATACGAAAATCTCACACTGCAGATCATACTGACAGGAAGGAACTGAAAGCTTTTGCTCTGATATCAGGAAAAAGGCAAGAAGACCCAGTCTCACCACCACTATTCACACATTGCATAACTCCAACTAGTAAGCTCTGACTAGAACAATTAGAGAAGAAATAGAAAGGCATACAAATGGAAAAAACCATAAAATTAGTTCTGTTCACAGGTAACAAAAGCTTATATCCAGAATCACCTAAAGATAGTAATAAAAAAGTATTAGAACCAATGAAAGTAATATTGCAGAATAAAAATACAGAATCAGCAGCATTTTATACACTCACAATGACAAACATGAGAAGAAAATTAAGAAATTGATCTATAGCACAAACAATATATAGCATGAAAAAGAATAAAAATATCCAGGAATGAACATAACCAAAGAAGTGAAAGACTTCTACAATAAAACTACAAAATATCACTTAAATAAATCAAAGATGCAAACAAATGAAGATATATTGTAGATTGGAAGTCATAATACTGATAAAATGTCCTCACTACACAAAGCAATTTACAGATTCAAGGAAATGTCTACCAAAACCCTAATGGCATTCTTTGCAGAAACAGAAAAAAGTGATCCTTAAAGCTCTATGAAACCTCAAAGGACTCCAGATAGCCAACCCAATCCTGAAACAACACAACTGGAGGCCTCACACTTCCTGTCTTCAAACATGCTACAAAACAACAATAATTAAGAGAATGTGGTGCTGGCATCAAGACAGATGCATCGACCAGGGGAACTCAATAGAGAGCCCAGAAATAAACTCTTCAATATCTGGCCAAATGATTTGCCAATGGTGCCAAGACTACACAATGGCAAAAAATAACCTCAACAAATGATGTGGGGAACACTGGATACCCACCTGCAAAAGAATGAAATTGGACCCTTATCTTATACGTCATTCAAAAATGGACTCAGTACGGACAGAAGATTGAAACACAAGATCTAAAATTATGAAACTCTCAGAAGAATCAGGAATCCAAACACTGAATTGAGCAATGACTCCCTGCATAAAAAATGTTGGAAATAAAATAAAAAACAGATAAATGGAACCATATCAAACTTTAAAACTTCTGTGAGTGTAAGGAAACAATTTATAGAATGGGAGAAAATATTTACAAATGATATTATCTAATACAAGGTTAATATCCAAAATGCAGTGGTGCCTTGGTTTATCAACTTGATTTGTTTTACATTTTGGGGAACATGGATGGCTGTGTTTGTGTTTGTGTGGGGAAGATGGGCGTGGTGGTCCTGTTTGTCACCTGATACCCAGTTTGCAAATGCAAGCAAAATTTTGCAAATGCTTTTGTTTGGGAAAGGAACTGTTTGCAAACAGAAGTGTTCCTGAATCAAGGCATTACTTTATACAAGGAATTTCAACTTAACAAAACTGATTTAAAAATAAGCAAATAATTTTAATACTTATTTCTCCAAAGAAAATTAAAGATGGCAAATAAGCACACAAAAGATGATTCATACCACTAATTACTGGAAAATGAAAATCAGAACCTCACCATCGCAGGGCCAGCAATTTAGCACAGTGGTGCCACCAGGTGACCTGTCTCAGGAGCACAAGGTCCTGAGTTTGATCACCGGTACCAAAAACTAAACAAAACAAAAGAAAACCACACTATCTCCTCCTACCTCATAAAATCAACTTATATGCTGTTTATAAGAAATAAACCTAAATAACATTAGAAAGATTGAAAAGGCAAAAGATTTACACGTTAACATGGAAAATAGTAACAGTCATATCAGAAAAGTATGCAAAGGCATGAAACAGAACAAAATGAAGGATAAAAAGAAAGTAAGACAATCCAGAATTATGAGAGAGAGGAGGGGGAGAGTCTATGTAAATGGAAAACAGAAATACTACAGAAAAGGTGACAGGTGCACAAGAGCTGGCGATTGCAACATAATTTAGTGAATCTTTGACATGTAGCTGAGGGCAAGGAAAAAAGAGATGTGTTATTTAAACAGTATTATGAATGAAGTTGGATATATGCATTCATTACACAGTCTGAACTCTGAACCTTATAGAAAAATATTGTACCTATTTTTCCAGTAAAAGTAGAAGACTTAATTAAAAATATAAATAATCAGTTTCAACCAATCTAAAAAGGCTCGTAAGGATTTCAAAAAGGAAAATGATCCTATAGTTTTTAAATGTGTGTGAATTCCTAAAACTAGGCACAATATTATGACTTTTAAAAAATAATGCATAAAAGTGAGAAACTGCAGGAAGGCAACCAAATATGGTAATAGCAGTTCTTCATTTCTGGGAAAGAGGATTATGGTGAATTTTATTTTCATCCTCTTGCCTGACTTTCCTTTTAAAGCTTTCCTTAATTATTACATTATATTTATGATGTGGACTTATTTTAAAATACTACAATATAGATGTTACCTTTAAAAATACAAATACAAACGTTGTACTTCAAGAAAAGTTCACCCTTCTAAATGCCTATGTTAAGAATGAAGAAAACCAGCGCGCTCCCCGCGCACCCCGCCCCCACAGGAGCTGCCCCGGGC